GGGAGGGGAGGGCTGCTCCCAGAGAAGAACAAAGGAGACTCTCTTTATAGTCCCCATGTTGTTCTGGGTCTGTCTCCTGTTGTCTCTGGTCTGACCAGCCTCCGCCCCCCCACTCCTGCAAAGAGACCCCCCCCCGTGTGCTTCTCCCAGCCTAGGGGGAAGAACAAACCCCCTGTTGTCTCCTGTAGTGCCACCAAGAGAGGAGGACAGGCTGCTGCGCTGACGTCTGGCCTCGGCCCCTCCAGCTTCTCATGGGGTCATTCTCTGGGGGCGAGAAAAACACTCCCAGGTCCAGAGGAGGAGGAGGAGGAGGAGGAGGGCGAAAGGGCCATGCGAGGGGAGGGGAGAGCAAGCCGGCACCTCCACTTGCCCCAGTGAGGGGAGGGAGGGAGGGAGGAAGCCCATGGGGTAGGGTGAGGCCGGGTGGAGAGGAAGGATCCGGCCGCTGCCAGAGGCTTGTGGGGTAGGAGGGAGCATGGGTTGGCCATGCTGTGTTGCGCATTCTCAGGTTTACTGTTCTATTTTTTGCAATATAGATAATGTTAGTGATGCGCCTGAGCCAAAACCCCAGAGCCAAACACCTCCACAAACTTCGGGCCCTCAGAATCCAAACCGGGATCCAGTTCCACAACCGAGTTCTCCAGGTAGCCGCCCTTCTCTCCCTCTGAACCTTTGCAGTCGGGCAGCCAAAAGCAGATCTGAAGGGTTTGCACGCAAGCCCAGACAGCACTGTCTTCCTGGTACATTCCCCTCCACCACAAAAATAAATAAATAAACAAACCCCACCAATGGCCCTGGCAGCAAGATGTTCCCATCCTGTGGACGGAGCAGCCCATCGGACAGGACAGGGGCAACTGGGGGGGGGCTACTCTCTGAGCATCTCCCTCGACTGGCATGAGCAAGGGGGGGAGGTGTCTGCTCTTCCAAAGGTATCACCCAAACATCTGTGAGTGGAATGTTGCCTTGAAGTAAGGAGGAGCTGCCAGCGGAACAGGAGAAGGCAGTTGGTGTTTGCCTGTCCCATGCCAAGGGACAGAAAGGCCAGGTTTGGCTTCCACCCACTACTGCTCAGTTATTTCGGTACTCCTGTTGCTCCTCCCCAAAGATATCCAGGGGTGGGCATACCTCAGTCCCAGAGCATGAGGAACGTGGAGAGTGATGCCAGCCAGCCAAATCCATGAAATGGGGTCAATGCATGGGATGCGAAGAGTGAGGATTTAAGGTGTCACTGAGACATTGCAATACTGAGTTACATCCAGCCCTTCTAAGATCCAAGCATCACATCTGAAGTAGCAATGAGGTCCTTGTGCAGGATTTATTAAACTGGAAAGTCCAGAGGGGGTGGTGGTGGTCCAAACTTGTTTTAATATCTTTTGAACACACATTGTTTGCATTTTGGTTGCTCTGCAGGTGCTCCATTAGCTGAGTTTCATTGCTTTGGGGACTGTATGGACAAATGTGTGTATGTGTATGAGAGAGAGATTGAGACGGAGGGAGGAAAGGAAGAAACATCTTTTTAAAAACGTTTTAATTCTACTCAAATCCACCCAGGATTACAGACTAGAGAAGCCCGGGAATGTGTGTCACTTTTAAGACAGGATTTTCCCTCTGCCTTGTCTTGAATATCTTACTTGAATATTGTACCTTACCCCAAATCCTTTCTCTAAAGAAAGGCCTGCCTGGCTGGGCCTCATCCCCAGTGGCTGACCTGCCTAATTAAGGAGCCCTGATAATCTTAAAGGAGGAGAGCGTGGGACCCCCAGATGAGCCGGCCACACACCCCTAACACTGCTCCTCTCTCTCTCTCTCTCTCTCTCTCTCCCTCTAATGCAATGGTACATAAATGGTACCCACCTCCCTCCACCCCTCACTCCCCACCCCTGTGGATTGTCTACTTAGAACAGTTTACCGTAACAACAGTATGTTTCAGCACCATCAAACGGTAAACCAAAAGCAAGAAAAGCCGCCTGTACAGATGAAGCCACTCGCAGAGGTCTCTGTTGGGGCCTCGGTGAGAGGGAGGGAGCTGGACCTGAGGGGTCCCTGGCCTGATCCAGCACAGGGCTCTTCCGATGCTGTTAGGTTCTTGTGCACAAACAAACACAGAGAAACATTAAACAAAAGCAAAAGTGTTCACAGACCCAGGTGAAGGGAAAACCAGCTGAAGCATGCCAGACAAAGCAAAATAGCCACAACTTAGGGAAAAGAGGGGAGAAGGGGCTGCTGTGTTATGATGATGATGATGATGATGAGGGGCTAATGTTTAATGTTTTGCACTGGGGTTGGAGACACGTCAGTCCTATTTATAGCAGGTGCTGAAAGACACACACACACACGCCAAGGGAGCTCCACCTCACCCCATCTTTGCCCACTTTGGGCCAGGTCATCAGCCCATGCAGTGGACTTGTGAGATGTTGAAACTGGCCCTAACAGGCAGCGTTCCCTTTTCCTGTTGCTTCTCCTGTTTTATCCGCATGTGTAACATTGTACTCCTTGACCTCTTTTGCTGCCTGTTTGCTCCTGTGATGTTTGTTGCCTCTCTCTCTCTCTCTCTCTCTCTCTCTCTCTCTTTGACACCCCATTATGTGGGAAAGGGCAAGCATGGACAAGCAGGCCTGCAAACCCATCAGCCCGACCCTTTTCTCTGGAGAGACTCGGCAGAAAGTCTCCTTTGAGGGTCTTCGGTTTCTGCCATTTGAGAAGCGCAGAGGGTTGAGGAAGGGAGAGGCCAGGGACTGCCATGGAACATGATCCTCCCCTTCCCTCTTTGGTTCCCTCTTTGGCCAGTTGTTCCTTGACGGAAGGGCCTTTGCCATCCCCATCCCCACCCCTAACCCCACCTGCCCCCTTTCGTATCTTCTCTCTCCCGGCTAGAGGGTCTGCTGGCCCTCCGCTAATCGGCCCTTGCTCTCCCTCCTGATTTCTCTTCCCCTGCAGGTCTGCTCGACTGCTGTGCCCGATGCCTGGTTGGGGCCCCCTTTGCCTCCCTGGTGGCCACCGGCTTGTGTTTCTTGGGGGTTGCCCTCTTTTGCGGCTGTGGACACGAGGCCCTCACTGGCACAGAGCACCTGATTGAGACGTATTTCTCCAAAAACTATCAGGATTATGAATATCTGGTTGATGTGTAAGTATCCTCCCGGCCACCCCCAGCCTCTTGGCCTTCCACCTTTTCTGCCGACCCACAACAGGAGAAACTAGGCCACCATCCCACTCATTGTTACCCCAGTGGTTGTCATCACCATCTCAACCCCATTCACCCCCTGGCAGCAGCCTTCAAGGGCACCCCCACACCCTGACCTTTGCCAGTGTCGACACTGCAGGGCTCGCCTGTAACTGTGGGGACCTGCCCCACAGTAAAAGCATCAGAACGACAGTGCCGAAGGGCTTTTCCCAACATGCACAGAAACCTCAGGCCTCCAGTGGCAGGCAGAGATGTTGCTGAGTAGTCGGCCTCTTGGGTGCAACAAGGAAGGGTCCCAGAACATACCATCCGTTCAGCTGTTCCACCACAGCCGGAGATGGGGATGGTCCAACACGGCAGGGCTGGGGAAGCCCAGCAAGGCAGAAAGGTACTTCCACCTCTGCACTTGACTTGCAAGTGCCTCTCTGGGATCTGAGGCTGTGACAGAGGACTTCACACCACCACGGATTGAACACAGACCCTTCTTTGTGCAAACCACCGAGCCAGGCTCTCTGACCCAAAGCGAGATCCAGCCTAAGTGGGTGGCTCTACCAAGCCCTTCCTGACAAATCCCTGCAATCGCAAGCGTTTACCTCCTGCCAGGAAAGCAAAGGGACAGCTTCCACATGCTCTCCTCCCCCAAACTCCTCCATTTCCTGCAGTCCATGTGGGACTTTCTCCAAGCCTTCTAACTGGACTCTGGAGCATCCAAGAGTGGTTCCTGCTTTGTGGACCTTCCTCTGTCTGCCTCTGGCCAGTTCCTCGGCACAGCGTGGCTGTGTCGGCCTGCCTAGGACTGTGCTTGGGGCGCAAGCCGCGTCCACATTTGAGATTCCCCCGGCCCCCAAATTCCTTCTTTCTTTGTCTTCCCTTGCAGGATCCATGACTTCCAGTATGCCATTTATGGGATTGCTGGTTTCTTCTTCCTCTTTGGGTCCCTCCTGCTGGCCGAAGGCTTTTACACCACCAGCGCCGTCAGGCAGATCTTTGGCGACTACAGGACCACCATCTGTGGCAAGGGCCTGGGCGCTACGGTAACAGGGGGCCACAAGGGGAGGGGTCCCAGAGGACACCGTCAAGCTCACTCTTGGGAGCTGGTGTGCCACTGTTTGGGAAAATGGCTGGGACATCCCGACAAGGTGATCATATCCGCCGTTTGCTTCTGCTTTGACCGGCTCGGCCATTGACCCTTGGGCATGAGACTGAAGCCCTGCTTGGGCCAAGGGCTGGGGCAGGGATGGCTCTGGGCTCTGGCACGAGCAGGCGCAGCAAAATGGGCAGCCCTTGAAGAGAAAACTGGCCCGGGGCTGGCTGGTCCCTCCTCCCCACCTCCCTCCCTGCTTCAGGCCACACCTCCACTTGGCCTTGGCCACAGGGCTTCCTTTCCCAAGCCCCCCCCCCAACCATGCCGGCCTTAAAACTGGCCCGGGGCTGGCTGGTCCCTCCTCCCCACCTCCCTCCCTGCTTCAGGCCACACCTCCACTTGGCCTTGGCCACAGGGCTTCCTTTCCCAAGCCCCCCCAACCATGCCACTGCCCTCCCACCCTCACCCACGCTTGCTCCCTCTCCCTCGCTTGCATTTGCACCGCACGCATCATGTTCCACAGCTAAGGTTTTAATGGCAGCATTTGTACATATCCATCCAAAGATGTCCATGAAATTACAGCTGTGTGGTGGGAAAGTCACTGTTTCCAGCAGGGCCTCCCGCAACCAGCCCTGCTCGGACCAAGGGTCCCGTCTCCCAGGTGCCAGGCGAAGGGTCTCTTGAAAACGGTCCCCCTGGGGAAACGTAGCCACGCCTTTGACCCGGCGGCGGGATGAGATGTGGCCTGCCTGTCCCAAAAAGCTGGCTCCAGCCTCCCAGCTTCAGTTTGCACAACGTGGCCCAGGGCACGAAGGGGTGCTGTTCACCAGTGCTGAACCACAGCCCTTCGTGGGACCCCCGTGGGCATCTCTGAGCCTCTTCTGCTCTCCCTGAAACCCCAGGTGGCCGATGCAACAGGAATTCTGCGGGATGCTGTGGGAAGGTTAAGCCACGAACATCCCATAGCCTTCAGCTCTCGACATCCACCTACGGATGCCCTCGGTTCTGTCCTCAGCAGAAAGCGGCAGCTGTGAAGGCTTGGCATGTGCTGCTCAGGGGACAGGGCAGGGCAGGGAGTTCCTGCACATCGTTCCAGAACCAGAAACGGATTGAGTTGATGAAGGTGGGGGTGGGGTGGCCCTTTGGGCTCTTTCTGCCTCTGGCCGAGAGGAGGAAAGTGGGCAGCCAACCCTAAATCGATGTTTCAAGAAGCAAGGAAGTAAAGAGGGTTACCTGTCTGCTGGGCGGGGAGAGCTATCTCAGAAATGCCCATTTTAACCCAAAGATCAGCCTGCAACTTACAAACCACAACCAGGCCAAACAGGGGGAGCGAGTGGGGGGGGGGTAGAGCTGAGCAAGGGGAATTTTCTTTCAAGGTCAAATTTATTTGCAGACCTCTGGGGTCAGATGCTCAGAGGCAAAGCACCCACAAGCTCTCACCTCAGGTGCCAAGCCTACGCACCCTCGCACCCATGGCAACCGTAAAGCTCCATCCCCTCTCCCCCCCCTTGCCCCCAGGGCGTGCTGGTACATATTCTGGGAACCCGTCCACCAGCCATCAAGGAAACCACTCTTTGAGGGCTGTGAGTCAACACCTCGCAAATAGCAAAGGGAAGCAGCAGCCGCGGCAGAGTTGTGGACGTGCACACTTGAATGCCCCTTTCCTTGAACATCTGGCCCATTCGGGAACCCTTGAGGGGAGGGCTTCTGCACAACCCAAGTGTTCTCCCCCACAGACAGACATTCTTACCACTGGGGGCTCTCCTCTCTGGGCAGCCGGAGGAGAAGGGCTCTCTCAGCTGGGGGCCAAATTCAGCTTTGGAGATGCTCTTGTGGGGCTGGGTTTCTGGGGTAGGTGGGGCCACAGGCAACTAGAGTGATGGAGGAAATTGCAAATGACGATGATGATGCCAGAGGGAAAGCATGTCAATCTTGCTTTGGTGGGGACAAGAACACCTCATGAAAGCCTGGGAGGCACCCAATGATTGTGTCCTGGGAAGGGAGGGGGGTCTCCTGGGGAAGCCGGGGGGGAGCAGAGCAGGGCTAGAACGGCCCCTGTGGCCTGAGGTTTCATACCCCCTCCTGTACAGCTGTAGAAAATGTCTTGGATGCAAAATATTGCCACATGAACACTGGGGAGAGCCCATCTTCCACACGGGGTGTGCACAAGACACAAAGGACACACACACACACACACACCGCCCTGGGAAGCAGAGCAGGTGAAAGGGCTGTGGTTGTGCATGTAAGTGAAGGCAGTCTTTGGCACCCCCGGGTGTGCACGCGTGGACTCCGTGGGAGATGCTCCTCCTTGGAGGAGGGTCCCCACCTCCCTTCAGCCTGCAGGGGGCCAGTCTCATGCTCTGGTGTCAGAGGCTCCCCCGCCCACCCCTAAAGGCGCTCCCTCGTCTCCATTGCTTCACAGTTTGTGGGCATCACCTACATCGTGGCCGTCGTCTGGCTCCTGGTCCTGGCCTGCTCCGCCGTCCCCGTCTACATCTACTTCAACACCTGGACCACCTGCGACTCCATCGCCAACCCCAGCAAGACCTCTGCCAGCATTGGCAACCTCTGCACAGATGCCAGGATGTACGGTGAGCAAACTGGGGGGGGGAAGGGGGAGGGGTTGCTCCTTCCAGAAGCCTCTGGGGGTCTCCATCCAGGGGTCAAGAGACTGGCAGGTCTCCTCCTTAAGAGGCCGAGGGGGCCCCAAAGGCCCATTTTTCCGAACCGGGAGTAGACTTTTAATCACATCTGGTTCCAATTGTGGGTTTTTTTGGGGGGGGAAGGAGTTGTACTGTCCCCAGAGGAAACCAGAGTAGTATTAGCGCCTGTAGCCCCCAGAGTTGGCCACGGGATCCCAGAGAAGCTTTGGCTGAGACCCAGAAGCCCCAGCTAGCCTGCAGTAGGTCCTGCCGGCAGCCTCTTGTGGCCCAGCTGCCCGCTGGCCTCCCGCTGTAAACAGCAGCTTCCCCACCGGCAGGAGGACGGTGTGTTGCCAGGGTGGAGCTCTCTCTCCTGGCCCCAGGGGTGACGGCACTCAGAGGGGTCTCGTGCCTTCCACAGGTGTCCTGCCTTGGAATGCCTCTCCAGGAAGAGTGTGCGGACAGAGCCTTCTTTCCATCTGCAAAACCTCTGAAGTAAGTGCCTGGCTGTCCCTCCTCAGGTGTCCATGCAGCTGTGCAACAGGGAAGGCAGACAGGATCTTTGCATCCTGAAAGGGGGAGGAGGGAGGGAGGGCCAGGCCCCCACTGCTGGACAAAGTGATGGCTGCAGGAATACGGGTGGACGCTCTGGAGAAGGTGCTCAGCTGGCCATGTGGTCTCTGCTGGTTCCATCCTTTTCAGGCAAATCATCAAGAGCAGTCATTGTGAGAAGGGAAAAGCACCCCTTTCGCTTTGCTTTGTACTGCAAGGGGCACGGGGGGGGGGATCATGGCAGGCAGCCCCTTGGAAGAGGCAGTACACCCGTCCCCTCCCCAGCCCAGCCCAGCCCAGGAGAGAGAGGCCTCTGCAAGGCTTGCTTGCCATCTGTTGATCCTTTCCTTCCAGTTCCAGATGACCTTCCACCTCTTCATTGCTGCCTTTGCTGGAGCTGCTCTCACCCTGGTGGCCCTGGTAAGGAGAGCCCGGCTGTGCTGTTCAGGATGTCTGCGTGACAAACCGTCCCCTTCTCGATTTGCATGCCGTTTCCTGCCTTGCTTGGTTCATTAGGCCGCTGGTGGCCATGGAAAGGAGAGCATAGGACCAGGGGGCAGGGAGAAAAGCCCAATGGGCACCTCAGGCAGGAGATGGCCGGGCGGTGGGGGGGGCAGGAAATCCTCCACAGGCCTCACCCACCCCAGAAGAGCCCCTGCAAGACTTTAGGGCTGCTGCTCGTCACCAAGTAGCTCAGAAATCTTTATGTAGAACCCCACTGGACCCTTTTTCGCCACTCACAGTACCGTCTAAAGAGCCTCTCCTCTGCCCTGCCCTGGCCTGCCCTGCTCTCTCTCTCTCTCTCTCCCTCTCTCTCTCTCTCTCTGTGTGTGTGTGTGTGTGTGCATCTATTGTGGTGTTGGGGGTGTCACCAGCACAAAGGGAGAGGGAGAATTGGGGCCATCCTTGTGTGGAGGGACAGGCCATTGGCACAGCTACAGGAAGGGGAGCACCCTCCCACCCAGGCTCCTTCTCTGGTGAGCAAGTTTTTGCCTTCTGGAACACTCAGCCAGAGTCCCAATGTGTTGCACCAAAACATTGCAGGAACAAAGGACAGCATTAAACTCAGGACCCTGTTAACTTTAAAACAGAAGCACCAGTTGTGATATGTGATGAACAAACACATTTTGCATATTCTCTGGGAACAAGCTAGGGTTGCACCTAAGGAGTGTCTCCACTTACGCACCCCTGAGAGTTCCTTTTCAGAGGCCCATGGCAAGGGGTGGATAGGGCCCCAGAGAGCATCCCCGCAGCAGATCTTGAGGGCCATGGGAGAGAGGTATGGGAAGAGCAGGGGTTCTTTTTAAGCTATAAATTCCCTGCACTGATTTTCAGCAGAGTAAAATATGGCACCCTTGTCTTACCGTCTTCTTTTTGCCTCCCCCAGCTGACGTTCATCATTGCAGCCACCTACAACTACGGGGTTCTCAAACTGATGGGCAGAGGCACCAAGTTTTAAGCCCGGAGGGAAAGGTGCCACATGTACAAGACGCGCATCTTTCTCCTCTAACTCGAAGGCTTTAACCTGACACTGTCGTGCCGCACCAAGTCTCCTTGCTTAACTCTGCCTCACCGCCTGCTCCCCCTTTTTTCCCCCTATGCTGTTTGAAGTGGGGCATGTGGCCAAGGAGGAGGACCCCAACCCTGCACACGCCCACCCACCCTGTCCAGGGGTGGACGTCTCTCCATGCGTACGTCTTCGGCCACCTGGTCTCGGCCAAGCCCTCCTAAAACGGAGCCCCTTGCCTTGAGTTCACAGTGAGCAAGACCAGCAGGCCTGCACCACTTCTCCTGCTCCAAAGAGCAAAGGAACCATGCCTCTCAACTCTTAAAGCAGTCCCTGCGAGAGACAGAGAGAGAGAGAGAGAGAGAGAACAGGGCTTCTCACACTTCTCTGCTTCTCCTCTCCTCGACAGGAAATGGGATGCTTCTTCCTGTCTTTGCACAAGAGAAACCCCAAGCCAATATATGTACAGCACATGCTCCTGCCTGCCACTGCTTGGGCAAGGAGGGTCAAGAGCAAGGATCTCCCCACTTTGGGGAGAGAGCGCTGACCTCCCCAACACCACCACATGCCGACAGACTCCCTCTTTCCACACCCCTGTCAACCCTACTGTAAGCCTCCAGGAGCTTGGTGCTTCCCCGCTAGTAAAAGGGGACTTTATCCTTGGGTGGATAAGAGCCAGGTGCTCTTTGCACGGCCCCCTTTGCACATTTCTAACCAGCTGGGCAGAAACCAGTCTTCTCTCAAGGGCAACAGTAACCAACCAGCTGCTGCTGCTGCTGCTGCTTGTGTGGGTAATGCTAGAGACTCCTTGGCTACACGCAGGATAACCCTTCCAGGATATTTTGCCCACCTCTGCCCTGCACTTTTCCTGGGCCATGGGCCGTGGGGCCGGACTTGCTCCAACCTTCTCGATGGTGCTTGTCATTCACAGCCACACTCGCTTCAGTCACGTGACCTCTTGCAGAATATAACCCTCGGTGCCTTTTCCCTTCCTGACAATACGGTTGCTCCTCCACACCATCTGGGTCCTCAGACCTGTCCTACTTATTTGAAGCCTCCTGTCTTTGTTAATTTAGAGCCCACATTTTCCAGCATGGGAGTGGGAGGTGTTCGAAGACGTGCTCAGAGCCTCCTGGGCCATTTTCCCTTACAGAATGTTGTGGGGAACCTCTTCATCTCACGCAAGCAAGCCAGATAAGCAGAAAAGATGGCCTTAAAAATGCACCCAGCCTCTTGGTCTGCTTCTGACTAGAGGCACCGGCTGAGGTCTGAGCGATGGTTCTTGCTGGAGGGCAAGACGAGAGGGGCCAACCTGTTGCAGGCAGGCTATCCTGGGGGAAACCACCCACACAGCCGCCCACTCGAAGCAAAACGCCGACGTCTCCAAGCATGACTCTACCACGACGGCACAATCCCTTCACAACTGCAAGCAGAGAGATGGTTGTGTTTGGAGGCCACGTCATCCCGGAGGAACCAAGAGTGCTATGTTCCTGGAGGCCAGAATGCTGGAGCCCTCGACACCCAAGCAGGTCTCAGCAGAAGGAGTGCAAGCTCTGGCACACGGGCCACAGAGGGGTGCACCAGGCAGCAGAAACCAGTGGCTGGGCTATCAACGCACATGGGGCTGGGAAAGAGGGTGGAGGATCTGGGCCAAAAGGGAGGGGGGAACAGGAAACCAGCCAACACTGAGCATACATCAACTCACCCAAACTTTCTTCCATTTCACATTGATTTCAGTAACACATAACTGGGGCCTAAGCCCTCCCAATCCCCCAAAAAAATAAATATCAGGAAAAAATAGCTAATAAGCCGAAAGTGTGCACTTCTGATCTTGAAGATCAACTTTTTAACAAAGCATAAAATATGTTTTTAGAGACTTACTTTACAAGGTGTATTTTATAAAATTAAAGACAATAAAAGTTAAGAATGTTCTGAACAAGCACATATTGCCTGCTTTAAAAAATCATTATCATGGAATCGGCTTTGGGTGAGACGTCCCTGCAAAAGAATCTTTAGGGCTGTGCAGGAGGGAACCAGAGATGGCTTGGAGCAGAGCTGGACAGAGGGGCTCCCTCTCCCGACTTTCCCGCCCACCAAGTGGCCCCCCTGTCCAGGGAGGCCCTAGCAGCCTACTTTGGGGGGTACACGTGTCCTATTCTTGCTTGGACTGGGATGATGAAGATCACAGAACTGCTCCCTCCCCCCCCCCCATGCTTATACCTCCGCATGGGACATCAATGTTGTTATGGCACAGGTTACCAGGTGGGTGGGTGGAAGGAGTTCCCATTGATACATTAGGAACACCTATAGCCGGGGAAAGACATGCTGGCAGACAAGATCATAGCTTTCAAAGAACAAAAAATAAGCTACCATTAAACTGCAAAATGTAGAGGCACTGATGTATACAGCCGAGCGGCAGTGAGGGGACAGAAAGGGGGGAAACTGCTGGCGTGCTCGGGGACATGGAGATGTTTCTGAGCAAGCAAAAGCATTTAAGGTCAGCAGACAGCAAGCAACACACATATCCCCTGGGTAGAGCCCCCCTCCTTTGCAAAATGACTTTCTCATCGGAGCTTGAGAAAGTCACTTGCTGGCTGGGGCTATATAACCCTCCCCTCAAAAGGAAATTGTCCGTGCTCTGGGAGGTGCCACCCCTCACCAACTCACAGGCACGGTCCCACAGGCATATGCTCCACTGAGTGCTGCAACCACCAAGGCGTCGGGAGAGGCCAGTTGAAACATAGCACGGGCGGCAGAGTTGCCAAAGAATGAATTCTGGCACCATTTGGGTGTGTGTGTGCATGCGTGTGAACTGGTTGCCCCTGTTTGTTCAGTGTGTGCCTCTTCTGCCCCCAGAGTGCTGCTTCCCACCCAGGGGGCTTTGTTCTCTCAATTGGGGTGACCAGCTCTCAAAGGCCTCTCTGGGCCCGTGTCCTCCCCTGCCTGATCTGGGCCCCTTCCCCTGCCTTCCCCACCCTCCTCATCCGACCTCCATTCCTAGCACCCACACTGGTTGGGTCACAAGAGTCTCCCTCTTACACCCGTCAATGGCATGCATTGTCCTCAGCCTCCCCAACAGACCACGAGCATCTCCCCCGCAAGGGCCGTGTGGGTGTCCAGATCGGCTCCGGACCAGGCGCGTGTGGTGTAAACAAGGCAAGGCTCTCCTGCTGTGCCGGATGGCACTTCCTTGCCTCCTCTCCTGGAGGGCCAACAGAGGAATGGCAGCCGGGGAGGTGTGCCCCTGACCCCAGGCGCACAAGGCAGTTTCCAAGAAAGCCGGTGGGATTCCTGGGAGGGGGAGAGATCACCCCGGAAGCAAAGAATAACACCCGTGAGCCCTCCTGGGTGATGCTGATGCGAACTTCCTCTCCAGGCCTGAACAGGGACTAACTCAAAGCTGAGCATAGTGCTGCTAAGGCTTTTTATTTCTCAATGCACGTCTTAATCAGCTCATCTTGGCAGGCTCTTCTGCATTACTACACAACTGTCACATGTTGTATGACAACCGTCTGGATGAATCCCGCTGCTTGTGAACCTTGGGTTCCTCTTCTCTCGCCCATCTCTGGTTTTACACCCCCCACCAACAGCTGATACCTGCAGATAACCTCTGTTCTGCTCCGTTTAGGCGAAGACTCTTCCTCGTACCTGTGTTCCAAGGCTTATCTCCTGGGTGTCCTTGTCGAAATGGGTTTTGGCCCCCACCAAAAAGATCTGTGCTTGTCACCTCCCGATGGCCTTTGGCATTTCTACAACATTTTACATTCCCCCCCCCCCACAACAACGATGCCTATTGAGGCCAGGACCCCTGCCCTCTGAAGATGCTGCGGGTAATCCAAAAAAATGCATGCAAAATAGAAGGCAGTGGGTCTCTAAGAGGCCACAAGAGCCTTTCCACCAGTTTTGCTGATAAGCGGTACTCCAAAAGACCTGGAGGGCCAAAGGCTGAGGGCCCCTGCTTTACATCCACCCTTCATGGCTGGTGAACAGGACGAGATTACATTTAAATCTCAAGGGCTGTTGGATAGGAGTGAAGCACCCGCTTTGCAAGTGGAAGGTCGCAGGCTGAATTCTCAGCATCTCCAAGTTGCAATGCGAAGGTAAGTCTTTCTCCACACGCTCTTCTACAAAAAGACACGTGTATTAACAAAATGTATACAAATATACAAAGTAGCAGACCTTCGGCGTGGCAGCAAAAATAGAGGCAAAGTACATAGAGGATAGTAGCATCAAGGAAAGAAGGAGATACATTTATGTTCACAATGTTCCCTTATATACAGTTGAACTGATGCTTCTGTCCAATCACTTCAAGGGCTGCAGAATCTTCCTTTACATGGGTGTTGCATCATCCCCAGATGTTGCTGCTTCTTCTTCTTAGTCACTGTGACTCAGCACTTACACAGGTGATCATCATGGCAATTCATCAATACTACAGTCTGGACCTGTTCAGGCCTATAAAATGTACAATACTCTGATACCACTCAGAGGAGATAATGCGGCTGCTGCTGCTGCTGCTGGGTAGCCCCAGGCCAGATGGACCACTGACCTACCCTCAGGAGGAAAAAGCTCCTGCACATTGACAGGTGCAACTTTTCCCCCTCCCTCTTCTGCTGTTACTGGGGGTGGGGACATCTTGAAACATGGTGTGGCTGCTTAAAAGTGCCTCGGGTGGAAAATATTCCTGGGGCTCAGCACCCTCCATCTCCTGGACGGCAAGCTCTTGCGAACGGGCACCCCTGGGGCAAGCAGGTGGCCAGGCTGCAGCAGCTGTTCCAATACCATTTAGGTATTCTGACTACCATCAGAATGTGAACCAGAGTGAGGTGGGGCGGGGGGGGGAACCACCCAGTGCCCACCCATCCCCCACCCCCTAAGCCTCTCTTGGAGAAGAGAAGGAAACAGTCCTAGGTGTTCGGCTCACCCCACCGCCACCCCCCTCAGGCTCCTCCAGAGACATCGGCGCTGAGCTAAGAAGCAGTGCTTCTCCTCTTTGGGGTCTGGGGAATCCTGCAAGATCAGTTCCACCCGGGGGGGGGGCGAGGAGGTTGCTGTGCCTTGGCCATGTGTGAAGTATTCATCGTGGCCACTCTGTCCTGGGCCCTGGGGCCACCGCGAAAGGCCTCAGACTCTGCTGCTTCTCTCTGGCAGCAGAGACTTGGTGCTTCCTCTGCTCATTCAGTCCACACTCCAGACATGCCTGGTGCCCTGAAGCCTGAGACCGGAGGCTGGGCCACCAGGAAGGCCTGTCCAGGTGAGGCACCAAGGCTTCCCCTGACACCCTCAGCCCTCCACTCCACCAAGTGGCTGCCAGTGAGCCCAGCCCGCCCAGCCCAGGCTTCTCTCCGGCTTGGGATCAGCTGCATGCAGGCAGGCCTGGAGAAAGATGCTGGGGATGTGGGGCGGGGGGGGGGCTGGGAGACGACTGCCATCCACCTCCTTCACTGGAAATGAGACTGAGGGAAACCCCAACGTCCCTTGTATACATTCACATTTTATTGGCTTTTAAATACATGCCAGTTGTGCCTCATGACATTTCTAGTCGCTCCTTCGGAGTGCCGCCTGGAGATTCAGGAAGAGAGACTGGGGAGGAGGCTCAGCAAGCAAAGGGATGGGGCGGCTGTGAGGCAGCCCAAAGCAAAGCCACGAGCCAGCAAGTCCCTCAATGGGCCACGGTGCCACGCTTGACACAAAACCCGCAAAACCAGGGGTTGATGAAGCGCCACCGTCTCTGCCCAAGAGGCAGGAGCTGGTCGGAACTCAAATTCACCCACACTGGGAGCAACGTTGCTGAGACTGTGGGGCACGAGAGAGCCCACTTCTTCAGAGGCAGGATGCCAGGCAGGCACTGAGATATAGACGGGAGACATGGGGGGCGGGGAGGTGTGGGGTGCAGCAGCAGAGGGCCACCTTCCTGCTTAAGGAGAAAGGAGTGTCTCTGTCACTTTGGCTCCAGCTGATGGAGGTGCCGTCGCTCTGCAGCACCTTTAAAATATTCAGCACTCCAGGGATCCTTCTCTCTTCGAAAGAGAACGCGACCGTGCACGGGCCCAGCCACATGACCCGACCGCCACCGACGTGCAAGCAACGGCCTGCCTGCTCCGGGGGCCTCAGGAGACCCTTCAGGGTCCCATTTTGTGCTGCTGCTCAGCTCCTGTGACACTGGGTGTTTGTCTCCCTTCTCCCCTTAGGACACCCCCTCTCCTGCCCCTCCCCACTTTGCACCCCCAGCCAGAGGGAGCTGGATGGCTCAAGAGGGCCACCAGTCTGGCCCACAGAAAGAGAGGCCCGCAGGGCAGAGGACCTCCCCCGCCCTCCCTTGGGCCCCTTTCAGGAGGGTCTGCTCTGTGGGGCCCCAAGCGAAGGGCCGGGTGCTTAACATGCGGGCCACCCACCCAGCGTCCAAGAACAAGGACGATGGAGGGAGGGGGGGAAGAGGCTGGCCTGCACAGGGAATGGTCTGCCCGGCCACCCCACCTCTACACCAGACACCCCAGGCTTCTCTGACCCGGGCTCTCCCACCCCAACACACACACACATCACAGTTCCTCTGTGCAAGGATGGGCTGCAGCCCAGCAGGTCCACCCCTACCGCCCAGCCTTGTGAAGCTACCAAGATCCAGGGCCGGAGGGCTGCAGTCCTTGTCCCCTGCTTGCCAGGAATGTTAAGAGTGCCAAAGGCAACCAAGGGGGGCGGGGGGTGGGGCGGGCTTCCCACCACAGGGTCCCAAGCAAAAAGCACCCTCTTCCAAGGGGAGAGAGCGGAGTAGCCCTTCGGCCAGCCCTCCTGCCCTGCCTACAAGGCCTCCCCCTATCCACAGAGAGTCAACAAGCTGCCAGCCCCTGCGCCCACAGGCTCTCTGCCAAATACAGCCCCTGCTCCTCCTCTGGACACAAAGGGAAGGGCGGGCTGGCACCCACCTGCCCGGAAATCCTGCCCAGGCGAGAGGCCCACAAGTCTTTCTTTCTTCCCTGTGCCATCCCTTCCGCCATCTCCCTCCTCGCCCCAAAGCACCACCAGGGACGTGACTTCTACAAGCAGGAGGGGAAAGAGTCTCCCCTCCCAACCTTTAAAAACAAAACAAAACAGAGAGAGAGAGAGAGAGAGAGAGAGAGAGAGAAAAGAAAACCCTAAGCATGCCAGGGAGTCCAGCAGAGGCCAGGAAGGGAAAGGCCTTGGTGTCAACAGCCCCTGGGCTTGGCTTGGACACCACGAAGCAAGGTGGGCGGAGAGGTGCGTCTCATCGCCCCCCCAGCACACACCATCTCCTTCTCTCCCATCAGCACCCTCAGTCTTGGCTTGAGCACCCTGAGGAGGGAAGGCACATCCGCCTGGCCATTGTGGGAGGCCTGCAGCTTTCACAGAGCATTGACCAAGAGACACAGGACACGAGCGATCCGGTCCGTGGACCAACCACTCCAGCAGTTCACCTGGCTGGGGAACGTGGCTGGGGAGCAAGGCACCAGCTGGGTGGGTGGGGGATCCCACGTTCCCTCTGTGGGTGGGTGGGGGATCCCACGTTCCCTCTGTGGTGCTTCGGCAGCTGAAAGGATCAGGCAACAGGTGGGGAGCGAATGGCTTCTCTCTCTCCCAGCTGGCACAGGCACTTCCGGGCTAGAACGACGCTCCCGGGTCAGCAGACA